AATTTGTGATAGATCGCATTACATACAGTACCATTTCCTCCCATCACACGTCATGCTGGATGGTCCGATCTATGACAAATGTTCTGATCGATCACATTTTGTGATCTGCGTCGGATTAACAAATCTGTGACGAATATGCTAACCACGTCGGTGAACCATATCTGCCATCGGTTGGATCATCTGCTACAGTTGATTAATTATCCGTGACGTGCCATTCTTTTTATAACGGTTGTTTCAGTTACGAAATTTCACATCATTCATTATAGATTACCATAGGTTTAACAGTTCGTTTTACCCGTAGCGTATTCCATTCTATCACATATCCCTACCATTTGAAAGATAATGTCGTCAGTAACAGCTATTTGCAATGTGACAGAGCATCGCAGCCGTGGCTTGTAGTCTCCTGAAAATGATATATGATCATATGTCATATGTCTATGTATAGATTATATATATATATATATATATATATATATATATATATATATATATATATATATATATATATATATATGTGTATGTGTGTGTGTGTATGCATAGATCATATGCATAGATGATCATCTGTCAGGCAAGGTCATGACAGATGACGTAAAGATTGATCGGCTCTACCGGTAGCAAGCGTCCCCAAGGCTTCTATTCAAGGCAGTCATCTGATGAACTTTTAGATTGCTCTGCTTACTATACCAACGTGTTCTGAACGGTTTACATGGACGCCTTTGAGCCCAGGATGTCACGCGGAGCTAACGTGTCACGGGTTTACCACCCAATACGCCACACCACAAACAGCGATGTTTGCACATCAGACGGTTCTCGCCCGCGGCGTTTGTCCGCCGCCGACCAGCGACGCTATGTTTTCCGTGCCTGGAGGCATCAGGACGCGCCCTAACTTTTCCCGTTCGAGTCTGACCTTTCCAGCTGTTGGCCGACCGATGTTGGCATGCCGGCCCGGTCTGGTAATGCGCCCGCTCTAGGAACTGAACTCAGTGCCGCGGGATTACGAGCTGGCGCCACGGCCCCATGGGCCGCGGCGCCTGCATCGCATGCATGTGTGCCCTCTCGTTCGGATGGCCGTGACACCAGGTGCGACCCCCGTCGGAACCCTCCGTGCCTGAGAGCATGCCAGGCGCTGTTCACTTGTCCCTGGGCTGCTCCGTCCGTGTGCGGCTAGTTCTGAGATGGTGCTTCAGCGTGGTGTTTGAGGCCTCTCGCATCACCTGGCCAATACTCGGCGCTATCCAGCAGCAGCTGGCGCGTTGTTACGCTGGGACTGAAGAGCTGACGTGTCGTGCGTGGCTGCGGTTCTCCCAGACATTTCAGAAGTAAGATCGGTCGACTGTGTGTACGAATGCCGCGGTTCTTGGTGGGAGTTCGGGTAATTCGTGTCCCGATTGTCTCGTAGAAACGCATATGCAGATCAATATGTATTCCGCAGTGATGCCTACATTTCACAGAAAGGGCTACATGACCAGCTGCTATTTCATGCAATAATTATCACCATGCTCGACTCGTTTTGTACGTCGATATGTGTTTTTTAATTCGTTTAATAACACGTTTTCTTCAATTAAGCGACAAGCTACTAGCCCTTGCCCAGGCTACATCTGTTAGTCATACTCCGCCATCGGCGTCTGTGGTATTGTATGTCACACCCGTGAAGGGACGCCGGCATCAGTGTGCCTATGCAATATGCACAAACACAAACAGCCTGAGTGTGCGTCGTTGGGGCTTTACGACGCACTCAGCTGCCGAGGCTATATGGCGTCGCCTGCCTCTCACCCTGGCGGGAAGGGCGGGCACCGCGGGAAATCGAAAACACCCTGAGGAACGTTGCAGCACTGCAGGCTCACCTCAGACATCAGGTCCACAGTCACGCAGTCTGGCATTCTTCACAGGCTGCATAATACGCTCAATGGTGTCAGTTATTTTTGGCGCCATGGTTCCAGAACTAGCGCCGCATTAGCGTCGACATGTCCCCGCGGCTGTTTTGTCGGCTGTATCCGGCTGAGCTCGCTGCCGTTCCAGCCAACCTCGCTATATCATCTCAGACCAAATAGCGCCACGTCCGGCTGCTCTCCGACACCGCTGTTTCTCTCGCCAGCTGCTGCTGACAGACGGCCGTATGTGTCGTCTTCAGCCCTGTTGCGAAGGAGCCGGCCAGCCGGTCTGACTGTTTTCGAAATTGTTGCCACGGTGGCCTGCGAACAGGCTAGTTTAGTCTGTGGTTCTTATGTAACAAACCCAGTGCGCTACGGGCAACGGCTCTGGGAGATCGTCGCTCAAGTCGGAGTTTTTAAACGCAACCGGACTCTGCATCACATCTCCCTCGTTTCGTCATCATGATCCCAAAGAGTCGCGGAGTTTCCAGCTCCACGAGATGTCACATCCCCAGACCAACTCACACGCCTAGCTCACAGGCGAGGGCACGACGCCTCGAGACATCCCACCAGTTGAGATTCGGTTTCTCCCATTGGCTACCAGCGGTAGAGATGACGTCACTAATAACAGCAGGCACAAGGGTCGTGAAACAAATCACGCGTGACCTGTAAATGAGCCCCGAGTCAAGCGAAGCATTTCACCGATCCGGTACGAAGTGGTTGTCGGTGAATGGTCGCGCGGTGACGCACGGTGCGTGCAGCTCTGGTCTGCTGTTGTCCGGAAGCTTCACATCCGGGCATACGGCAGTTCATTTGGTGCGTTCAGCACAGGGATTGAACAGATTGCGGCGCAGTTTGTTACAATGACATTTGAATCAATGGCTCGCAATCAATCATGGCTCACAATCAATGGCTTGCTTCCAGGCGTCAACGCACACTACCTATGCAGAGGTTCACTAATATTCCAGCTCTGTCCTTCAGCTCTTTTTATCACATGTCAAATTCAATTCAGTGCTCTCTCACTGCACGCGTGTCAGCCACTTAAACTGGCCGCCAGGCTGATATCCTGCGAAATAAAGTTGGCAGTTTGTGTCTTCTTAAACGTGATGCGTACCTTATAACGGTTTGGTATTATTTGTGATAGATATCATAGACAACAATCAATGAAGAAACGCTGTGCATCTCATCATGGAATGGAACAAGCCTTGGCACAATTTTCTGAAAACATGAACACATGTTTTGGTTTATTTTTTAATTGCTTTAATCTTCAAATTGCTCCCCTGGCATTTTTGCGACTTGCATAGAATGTGAGCCTGGCAGGCGGCGTCAGCCGAACCTGTCCACCGCCTAGTCACGTGCCGGACATGGGGACGGTCCGACGGACCGGGCGGCGGACAGGGCGGGGCCACGCGCTGGGAGTGGCCCGACCCGCCCAGCGGTCAGGCGCCCCCGCGGTGGGACGGCTGCTGGGCGGTCAGGCGCCCCGCGGTGCAACGCCGCTGGACAGCTCAGGCGTTAGCATCGACGCCCGGCCGTTTGATCAAAACAACGACACGGATTTCCGCAGGGCTGCTTATCAGCCCCTGGTAGAGATAGCGTAAATGCAAGCAAGGTGCATACTATTTCTTAGCAAACCTCTAAGTTCAGGCATTTGGATGTGAAACGGGGCGATCCGGAATATTGTGCGCAAGTATCGTGGCGCACGGCGGCCTGGTGACTTCATGTACGGATATGACGCACGGCAGCCTGGTGACGTATTGTGGGATAACCACAATACGTCACCAGGCTGCAACTTTGAACACTTTGAGCGTCAAACATCGGACTCGGTCAAGCAGGTCAAGTTGGTCGCATTGGTCACATCGGTCTAATTGCAATCGACCCCAAACAAACATGATGCGCAGCTCGACAAATTTGGTTGGGACTACTTTATTTTACGTGCTAGCATTTTTCACATCCACGTGTTTCTACCGTTGTTCACTTTCCGCTCTAAGTATGTCTCGCCGTATACCTGTGAGCACGTGTTAGGCCGCTTGCACGCTGACGGGCTACGAAGGCCGACGTGCGATTGCTTGCCACGACAAGGCAGGTCAAATTAATTTGCCGGCTGCTGTTTGTTTGGCTACGGGTGTAATTAAACGCACAATCAGCGACGGCTTGCTTCCTGCGGTAACGCCGCAGATACCACGCCTCAGTGCTGTGGTTGGGAGTCAGACGCGTTCGCTGCAGGTCGTACGTGCAGTGGGTTCGACACCGCCGTCGCCGCCGCCGTCCACCTCGAGCGAGTCCGACGTCACTGAGTCGGTGTCCTCGATCAGGTGTGTGCTGTCCGCTCCGCCGACCCCCTGAGCGGAGCTGTGCGAGCGTCCGACATCGCCTGACACCCCCTCCTCCCCCAGGCGTGCTCAGACGGCAGCGCGGAAGATGGGCGCGCGGCACAGTAAGCACCGGAAGTACCCGGTGCAGCCGGGCGGCGGCGGTACGGCGTACCCGCCTGGCAGATCCGGCTTCGAGGAAGCGGCTGTGACGCGCAGCAATCCGCTCTTCTCGAGCGGCAGGCCGGCGGCGGCCACCAACTGCGAAGACCTGGACCAGCCGGCGCAGCTGCGGCCCGAGCAGCGGCTCCGGCTCTCCATCGTCAGGAGCCGCCGCGCCAACAGCGACCGACACCGAGACCGGGACCGGGACCGGGACCGCGGAGGGGACAGTGCCGGGGAGTGGGACCGGGACCGGGACCGGGGCCGGGACAGCGCCGGGGAGTGGGATCGGGACCGGGACAGCACCGGAGAGTGGTACAAGGACCGGGACGGACACAGCGCCGGAGAGTGGGGCCGGGACCGGGACCGGGACCGGGACCGGGACCGGGACCGAGACCGCGGCCGGGACAGGGACCGGGACAGCGCCGGGGAACGGGACCGAGACGGCGGCATGGCCCCGGCCCCAGTGCAGGAGTCAGGGCTGGACGCGGGCCGGCGGCCCTCCCTAGTGCGGGCCACCGTGCATGCGTGGGACCCGGCTACGGAGGAGGACGGCCGCTCGCGCCGTCCGGCCGACCACCAGGAGGCGGTGACCGTGCTTCGCGCGCCGCAGGAGGATGAGGCGCCTCGGCCGGCGCCGCGCACCTTGTTCGGCATGATGCCGGACGTGGTGGGCCGGGCGGAGCCGCAGCCCAAGCCGGAGCGGGAGCCGGAGCCGGAGCCGGAGCAGGAGCCACGGCCCGGCCCCGTCACCATCACCGTCGGCTGGGAGCCAAGCGTCGCGAGTCAGCCGTCCGATCGGCCCGCCAGCCCGGAGCGGCCTAAGGGCGGCGAGACGAGGGGCGAGGCGGACTCTCCCCCACCGGCTGGCCTGGAGACGCCTCTGGCCGATTCGCGGCCGGGTGACGGAGAGGCGGCGGGCACGCCTGCCACAGCTGGCGCCGCCGCCGCAGGCATGCGCCGCGCGGTCCGCTGGGGGGACGACGTCGGCGACCTGCCCGCCCGGCTGGAAGGTGAGCGCCCCCATACCCTCGCCCTCCTCCGCCCGACGCTGAAACCCCCTGACCACTCTCGCATCCGGTCAGCTGTCGCTCCGTGACATTTCCTCACCACGCCAGCCCCCACATGCCTGCGCGCGGGCAAACCCCGCAATGTCAGCGGCTCCCCCATTCTGAAGATTTAGCCAGGCCAGAATCCTTGGCATACGACGCCTCCATCACGACGCCTCCATCCTGCCCACTCTTTTCAAAGTCAATAGTTCCGACATTTGTGCGCTCTCGACATCCTCCAAAATACTGACCCTGGCCTTCAGCTTTTTCCGTCATCAGACATACCGTGCAGATCACAAGAAGAATAACGCCTGTCCCAAAAGCAATCCCCGTCCACCCGACCTCCCCCTTGCTTCCCCCAGGGTACCACCCCGCCTAATTTCCTACCCACCAGGGCGCCGCCCCGCCCGATCTCGCCCCCCCCCTCTCAGAGCACCGGCCCTGCCCGACCCTCCGTCCCCAGAGCACCCCCCCCCCCCCCGGCTTTGCCGCCAGCTGGCTAGCGATTCTCTGCTCTGCTGCCACAGCGGTGTGCAAACGGGGCCAGGCGGTACCTGGGCAGGCTATGCCCAGAGCAGGTGCGCGCGCACAATTGGTAGGCCTTTGTAGATATTTGCAGGGTATATATATATATATATATATATATATATATATATATATATATATATATATATACATCTCTCTCTCTATCTATATTTTATCCCGTACATAAATGTATTTCTATATCTATACATGATACCATTGTGTGCACATGTATATATATATATATATATATATATATATATATATATATATATATATATATGTGTGTGTGTGTGTGTGTGTGTGTGTGTGTGTGTGTGTGTGTGTGTGTGTGTGTGTGTGTGTGTGTGTGTGTGTGTGTGTGTGTGTGTGTGTGTGTGTGTGTGTGTGTGTGTGTCGGCCGTTCGTGTGCGTAAGGCCGTAGATGTCACGCTTTCGTGTGGGAGCCGATTCAGTCCAATTCGTTTTGTTCGGGACGGTTTGTTCCCAAGGTATGACGCTTATTATCGACAGAATGCCAATGCAGACCGGTCTTCAGTTGCTTTGCAGAAACAAACTGTGCACATTTTAATTAACAGTTTATAGTTGCCAAAGGGCACCACGTTTTTTAAGATGCTACTACCTTGGTATCAGGCAGTTGTTACCGCCCAGGAACAGTTGGATAATCATGGCAAACTCTTCAACGCCCTGAGACGTTGTCAGTGTTTCGACGGTTAAGTATGACCGGTCTGCTGTCATGACACGACAATCGCTTCGTGGTCACTTCAATAAAAATAACGCTTGATAAAGCTATGCTGTTGCCTTCCCCTCATTTTGCATGATGGCATGACGCAGGCAAATATGTTGTAACAAATATATCAGATGTCCTTACAGGCAGGGACGTACATTCCCGAAATGAGTCGGACGGGGGGGCCGAGCGTTAAGAAATGGTCAAGCCTGCCCCAAAACGGGTTTTATTCTCGACTTGACCCATTTGCTTTTCATTATTGATGGGGTGGGGGTGGGGCAAGAGCCAGTGTGGTGGAGGGGGGGGGACCAGGGCTATAAATGGGTGAACTTATGCCCACATCTGAATAGGAAACTATACCCCTGCTTACACGGAAAGTTCGTTTACTAGAGAACGTGGGTCGTGCAAACCCATGGCTACCCAAATGTGCTGGGCAGCGGGTTAGTTTGGGTATAAACTTTGAGACCATTACTGGCACGGGTAGCCGTGAGTACGAATATGACGCTCACGAAACGTCTGGCAACATACTCTTTGGGTGTATACACATCTGGTAATCTTCCATTGTTTAGAGGTAAGGTGCTGGAGAAATGCAAACGAAATGGGAATGGATGGATACAACTAATTAGGAATGGGTAGATGGTGGGTATGGGCACACACCATGGTTATCGGCTGGATAAGATAACGCAGATCTCACCCGTGGATGGGTCTACTGTTCACTAGTAAATATGACAGTTTCACACAGAAAATTTAAGAAACAACTGTACTCACAAATGTGCAGAAAGATCCATGAGGACTTAATTTATTTCTCCCACGACCTTTGCTTTTGATGGACTGTTCTCATGCTAATTAGTGTTGTGAAAGATGCAATTGGGCCGTGAACATAGCACAAGCTTTGCAATGCTCTTATCAGCTTGCCAGTATTCAGTTATATGTTTATTGCCTACCTGCTATTACATTTTCCTACCTATTGTTTCAAGCTTGTGGCAGTTCTTTCGGCGCCATGAAATGAAATATCCATGCTCGTGAAGGTGAGGGCCGTTAAATTGTCTTTACTGTCCTGCAAGCCATAAAATCAGGAGAGTACGCCAAGCCCCGGCGTTTGCAGTCAAATGAAATGAGACAGGACAACCTACGTTGTTGAAGAATGTAGACACAGGAAGCTACGATGTCATGTGACACCATGCCGCGCAGTATCATAAACTGGTCTTAAGCCGCGCCCTGCTCTTCCGTTACCGCCTGGTATCGACCCCCTGCGAGAGCCATGCTGTTATGCCTTTCCCATTACTGATAGCGATATCGTTAGCAGCGTTAATTTCTTTCCTGCATTACACTGCTGCATGTGTCCCTGAAGTGCCGACTGGTAAACATAAGATCTCCAACCGTATTATCACCTCTTTCCCATCCGCATCTCACACGTGTGCCAGAAGCTAACTACCAGAATTCCCATAGTAGATCATGCTCACATCGTGAAACGCAGCACAGCCCAACATTTGGCCTTCTGATTCGTAATTTCGGACTTTATCAAGTGGGAGACGAGTGCCGACTGACTAGCAAAACACTCTGTAATATGAAACCAAGCGGAGACTTCTCGGCCGGACCTTTGTCATTAGAAAGTCTTCGTAACCGTTGTGATGCCGTTTCACATGTAACGGTGTGAGCCGTATGAGCAACTCCGTCTATAAAGATGACTCGGATAAACTATGGCGAGCCTGGAGCTACGTGCTGTAAGAAAATCATGTGGACGCTCGAATACACAGCAACAAAGCCCAAATTCAAAAGTGTTCTTGTTGAACATTCCTTCTTGAATGCCGGGATATTACATGCGTTTATAATGCCAAGAGCCTGTTCTGAACTCGTGTTTTGGAACATTTACCACATTTCCATTAATGTGTCTAAAGCTTAAGTTTTTAGCGCTGCATGTGGCACGACCAACACGTGTCAAACCACTGGGCACCCAGATACCCTTCACATGCATGTCCTCTTCTAGCGCGAGAGCTCATATCGGCCTCGGTGAGGTTGCGGAGTCCCGTCCGTCTCGCGTCCCGACGAAGTCTCCGCCCGGTCCCTGCATCCAGACAGGGTCCGTCAGTCCGTCCGTCCGTCCGTAGGTCCGTCCTGCATCCCGAAGGGGTCCCTGCCCGGTCCTGTATCCTGACGGAGTCTTCGCCCGGTCCTGCATCCCGACGGAGTCCCCGCCCGGTCCTGCATCCAGACAGGGTCTCCGCCCGGTCATGCATCCCGACGGAGTCCCGCCCGGTCCTGCATCCCGACGGAGCCCCGCCCGTCCTGCGTCCTGACGGAGTCCCCGCCCGTCCTGCATCCCGACGGAATCCCCGCCCGGTCCTGCATCCAGACGGAGTCTCCGCCCGGTCCTGCATCCCGACGGAATCCCCGCCCGGTCCTGCATCCCGGCGGAGTCCCCGTCCGTCCTGCATCCCGACGGAGTCCCCGTCCGTCCTGCATCCTGACGGAGTCCACGCCCGTCCTGCATCCCGACGGAGTCCCCGCCCGTCCTGCATCCCGGCGGAGTCCCCGTCCGTCCTGCATCTCGACGGAGTCCCCGTCCGTCCTGCATCCTGACGGAGTCCACGCCCGTCCTGCATCCCGACAGAGTCCCCGCCCGTCTTGCATTCCGAGGGGGTCCCTGCCCGGTCCTGTATCCTGACGGATTCCCCGCCCGTCCTGCATCCCGACGGAGTCCCCGCCCGTCCTGCATCCCGACGGAGTCCCCGCCCGTCCTGCATCCCGAAGGGGTCCCTCCCTGCCCGGTCCTGTATCCTGACGGATTCCCCGCCCGTCCTGCATCCAGACGGAGTCCCCGCCCGTCCTGCATCCCGACGGAGTCCCCGCCCGTCCTGCATCCCGACTGGAATCCCCGCCCGGTCCTGCATCCAGACAGGGTCTCCGCCCGGTCATGCATCCCGACGGAGTCCCCGCTCGGTCCTGCATCCCGACGGAGTCCCCGCCCGGTCCCTGCATCCCGGCGGAGTTCCCGCTCGGTCCTGCATCCCGACGGAGCCGTGTGTCCAGACGGACTCCGTCTGCCAGACGGAGCTTGTCGGGCATCTGTCGTTGCAGATTGACTTTGAGCTGTTTTGGTGCGGTATCACCCCGGCCTGAGTTAGGATGTCATTAGCGGGTGGTTTTCGGCTGGAACGCGACATTTACTGCCGCGTCTGGAGACAAATGTGGCGTGCGTCCGACGGCCGAATGGCGTTTATCATCGCCATCTTGCCGGGCAGCTCAATAACGGAAGAACATCGACGGCCGAAATATCTCACCCAATAAGCCGTGGGCAGGCCACCTCCAGCCCATTCTCTGGGTTCTAAAACCCTCTAAGATAGATGTTTCCCGGCTTGGGCGCGTAGCTCGACATCATTACACTAGCTTATTTGGAGATGTGTGAGGATTGTATGAAATAAGCAGAGTTTTTGCATTACATTTATGAGCGTTTCACGCGATTTATGCTATGTTGTTATCACTTGTGTTCAAACATCACTCAAAACCTTGACTACCGCATTGTTGATGCATTGCGTTGGTCCAATGCGTTGGTGTCTTTCCCAACGTTCTTATGCGCATTCTCCGACAGCTGAATTGATGCTAAGCCTGCCCAATGCGTTGCCGCCTAATTTGCTGGTATGGTTTGCAGATATACATGTGCAGACATGATGCGCCCTTCGTTATCCTTCGATATCATTCGAAGAATTCCGCTGCACCTTAGCTGCTTCTTGATCGATATTCCACCACATGTTAGCATTGCTCACCTGTGAATCATCAATGCTAATTCTCCCATCGTTTATGTATGCCAGAGTGTGCCGTCTTGGAAAACGGCGTCAGCCCTTGAGTGGCATTAATAATCCAGCCATTAACCAACGGTTTACACCGCAACACCAGATATGCAGCACTACCCTGACCCAACGCGTGTCAACAGGCGTGGTGGAGACCAGCCGTGACCCTCGGGCCATGCGCTGGTGTCGCCAACACCTGGCCATCCGAGGTCAAACGCTGCTGACCCCTGACCTCAAGATGGAGCTGGCCGAGCTCAAGGTGCAGCCGGCCCCGGAGACGGGCCAGAAACATGCCATCAAGCTCTGTCGGGGCAACATTGTCGAGCTTCTTTTAAAAGTAAGTTTCTGCCGGGCCTTGCGCCGCGAAAGATCGCGTGACGTAAGAGGCGAATAGTTTTTGTCCATTTCTGCTGAAAAAACGAACGTCGGCTTTAGGTGTCGGACCATTTTACCAGATTGCCTTTCTTGGTCCCTACGGTATCTCCGAGCCATAGTGCCATCGCAGTGGCCTCGTCTTTTTGCGTGGCTTTTCTGGCGAATTTACGGTCGACTTCTTTTCTGGCTGGATGCGATAAATTTGAGGCCGAAAATTGCCCGGCCATCGACCGAACCGGGCGAGATGCTGCACTCATTCCTGCCACCAGCTCCCGGCCTGCATGGGGGCGGTTCCTGGAGTCTGCTCTAGATCAGAACCCCATCGACCGGGTCAGGCTCAATATCTAACCCCGTTGAATACCATGAACTTTACTCCAGCGGCATCAAAGGTATTTGGATAGTGCCATCGATTTTCACCATGCCCTGGAAAGGCTTACACTTTACGGAGTGAAGTCTTCTTGCACACTTGTATCAGGCATGGAGGACATTTTGGGAATTGCGGAGCGATGACAGGTGAAAAGCAATGCCTGACACGGCGGTAACAAAACAGCAATTTGCTCTATGTCATCGGCTTATTCTACGAACCTTTCGTATTCTTCTCGAGGTGTTGTAATTCATGGGATATCAATGGCCACCCTCCGCCGTCATGGTTTTTGTTACAACCTTTCGAAGATTTTGGAGCACGACTGCGGCAAGAAAACTGATTGTCACTCAGGCATGACATTCCTAAGTGCCGGGCAGCTATTGGTAGTTGAAAAAAGCGGTTGTTTTAAATATGATGTCGTTTTGACGCTGCAACGATGCAAGATGGTGCTGTGAGTGGGGTTGTGACAGAAGCGGTCGGCAGAACTGATCATGACCAAGTGCTGTTCAAGCACTGTAGTGTTTGCACTACGCCATACTGCTCGTGTAGGTGAGATATAATATGATCCGGTTCGTAATAATCACGTGCGAGTGTGAAAAGTCCCTAAAATTGATTCGTCTCCAGCAAAATTTCGCACAGCCGTCTTGAGCGTTGCGTGATATCAGCGCTTGCCACGGCATGCACGCATACTCAGTCACTTCTTAATCTCTGCTCATGAAATATATTCTCCACATCCGATTTGAAGAGATTTCAGCGACGAATACATTCCGCCGAAATAGCGAGCAATCTCGCTTCATGGATGCGTTCGTTTATCATTCAAAAAGCCATCCCATAACTCAGCATGATGCTCTCACTTTGCATTCGGTATTCCAAATGCACCGACGAAAATATCTCCGATTAAGGAGCCCTCAACTGCCTACAAACCCGGGCTGTATCCTGTTCGGGCTGTGATTGGCTCGCTCGTGATACACGTCATCGGGAACCCCTGACCATGACTGTACATGACACTCTTGTGCTGGAATGCCGGTAGGCGCCAGTGGTAGTGTGCTGACGGTGTACCGCTGCCCTGCCGTCGGTGCGCCGTAACACGCTAGCACTCAGACACACAGCCGGGCTGCAAGAGGGTCGTGCCCCTCTAGAAAATTTCGATCCGAATTTACTGAGCTCGAACAAAATTTGACATTGTCCCCTCCCTGAGGAAAACTCTGGCTGCAGGACTGCCAGCAGAATTTTCTGGCTGCAGGAATGCCAGCAGGACCACTCGTGATGCATGGATTGTCTAGTTTATAACACTTAAGTCAACTATGAGCGATAAGGGTGGGCCGCGCGTATTTTGTGAGACGCCAGCGGGGTATCAAGCCGCAGCGGAGATGTTATGTGACGTGTGGGGAGGGGACGCGGGGAGGAGGGTCGCAGGTGCGTCGATTGCGAATTGTCATGCCGCTTAAGTGATGAGCGAATGATCTACAATGCTCGACAGATCACAGCGGTGGGGAACAATGAGTTCACCACGTCAACAATGACTCAGAATGGCCCGAGTGCTCTTCCGCTGCGTTGAACGCGCTACCAAGGATCCTGACCTTTGCGCTGATAAAAGATATTATGCTCCGAGATTCACAGCTTAATGAGATTTCGCTAGAAGCCATGGTGCTGGTATTGCTCTCGGTGACCTATGGCTGCGCCACGGGCTCAAGAAATCGCCAACCCACATAGCTAGGTCAAGACCGCAGCGTGCTATTCATTATCCGTCGGTTCGCCAGCTGGTATGGTTGGTACGCATGCGGCAGCGGGCGGTGCAAACAAACATACAATGTGCTGCCCCTCGTGCAAAGCTGATTGTCTTGACAGGTCTGACGAACCGGACCGTGCAATCGAACGACTGAGCGAGTCGGGCTCGTGCGGCATTACATGTTGAGGTCATTTGCCTAACACAAAAGTTCCTAGGCTTCATTTTCCCGCAACTGGTTTAAGAGCCCAGTAAATTTTGGCCGTGATTGTTTAGGCTAGAAAGCTGCTGTATCGGTGCACATGCCATCGCCGCTTACGCACGCACATACTTTGAGATGAAAATGTTGGTAACATTATGTATCCTTATTTGAATTATGCTGTATAGCCTTATTCAAATTATGTTGCGGGTGCCACAAAGTTTTTATTGCCCATTCTTCCCAAGACCAAAAGGGGATTTTAACCGGCAGGGTTTCAGTCTAGACGCATTTTGATGAGCGTAAATATACGCATTTTGCGCTTTGTCTTCAGCGTCAATGCCATGAATCAAACGCTGCCCACAATAAACGCACCTTAAACGCACATGAGCCGCCCCTAGGACACATGTCGAGCCAAAACTTTGCACCAAGTATCGCAGCTTAGATAGAAATTCCTGACAATCGAAGGGCATTGCATGAAACAGCTTAGCATGTCCAAACGCAAAAAAGATCAAACCGTTTCATATATTTCCAGGGGTGCATTCAACATTACAGTCACTTAGCGCACATTCCCCCTTCATAATTTGACATGCATAATATGCACGTGAATGAATGTTAACAATTACAGCATCGACGAATACATATAGAAGTGGACAATCTAGAAAACGTAATGTCATCATGAGCCATGTAAGAAGTCCAACTTTTCAGTCATAAACCATTAATTTTTCCCCAGTTGCGATGTGTCGCATACATTCGTGTACATTTCAAACCAATTTCGGTAGCTTCTGCCCCGTTAACAACGCTGAACTACGCGCCAGCTGGGGTAAGCGCCAGTCCTCCGCTAGACCATGACTCTCATGCACCATGCGAACACTGCTGTTCGGCTACGCTTCGCAAACAACTGCGTAGGTTCCGCTCCTGCCTGCTGTCGGTGGCGTATGCAAAATTCCCGGGAACCATGTTTCAAAACAACAGTGCCCCGGCCAGTGACGACAAAGGCGAGCTACTGAAGCGTTGCACGTTAGCTCTGGAGCCGACATCGAAACCGGAGCTTTGAAGTTATAACGGTAGCAGCGGGCGGAGAGCCATTGTCGCCACCGGATACAGGTGCTCCGGCTGACGCAGCTGCGACACAGGCGTCAAGATGTCAGGTGACGCCCCGCACCTATAACGGGAGGCAAGACGGCGGGAAAGCGACAACGCCCACAGTGGTCACCGGTTTAGTTCCCCTGCAGCCCACGGTTATACTTCAACCATGTAAAGCCTGCCACCTGAGGGCTTACAAACTGCTCTTTGGGGAGGAGAGGCTTGGCCTTTTTATATTTCGCCAGCACCAAGGAGCACCAAGAACAACTGCATTTAAACACGCCTTCCCCGTAACGACCAGACACAGCCGGCAGCGTTTAGAAGAAGCGTACATATACAAACCTGATAAGCACACATATCTGCATGCTCAGCAAGGCAATTCAATGTTTTGTTGGATTTGCATAGGGCTTGTGGCAAGATGTGTATCCCCTCCCCACAGTCCGGGAGTTCTCTCCGCCGCAGCATTGTAATGCTGGCGAGACGAAGTAATATGTTATAACCTACGCAACAGAAACGCAGCCAGCAGGAGGGGACTCGCCCTCCCCCTTAGGACCGGATTTGTCAGTTTTTCGCCACAGATGGCTTCCCACAGAAAGTTTGGAATCGGGGTGATGCGTACTCAGTGAGCCCAGGCCCTCCTCTCACCTTAAGAAAATCCTGGCTGTATTCCTGGTGCGTTATATATAACATGTCTGTTACACCTTATATATATATATATATATATATATATATATATATGTAGATATATGGTTGTGTGTATGTATGGCCTTGTAATATATATATATATATATATATATATATATGCATATACATGACTTGCTCATCAACTGAATATCATTCAGTTTCAACCAATATTTTTGTGTAACACAGATGAAGAAACAACCTTCGCTTTCGTTGGGCCATGCGCAGCTTCGATCATCGCCCAGAAACTCAAGCAATGTAGCTCAAATTTATAAGTCTGCTGAATCAGACTGTGAGAGAATTTCACTCGCATTAGTGTTTGCTTTTTTGCGAGTTCTTTGCACAACTAACACTTAGTTAAGGTGCAGTTTGCTTCCGTTTGCTAATATCTGCACTCTAGATCATGTCTGCATTTAGATGTATCTGAGTCATCCACGATAAGCTCGGGTTCGTAACGACCCATTGTCGTGCAAGTAAAGACCGGCTGTGAAGGGAGCGAAGCCAGACATGTCGCATGTACAGTTCCACACAGCCGCGCCCCTCGGCATGTGGGCCCACCAGCCACGCCTCGGCGCTCGGCGTGGGTTTGGAGCACGCGGGGGTGCAGCGTACGGCCGAGCCCTGCGACGCGGCGTCCCAGCAGGCCAGGGTAGCCGCCATCAGGTCAGGGTAGCCCTCACCAGGTCAGGGGAGGAATGCGGCTGAGTGACGGACACACCCAGCACAGGCCGGAGCAGTACCTCGCTATCCGTGGACTGCTTATATTATCAGTGGCCACTGCGGCCACTGCGGCGCGTGATCGACACGTCAGCTCTCGATCAGCAGACGGCTCTCGAGTGGCCGGGTCGGGAGAGCCGCCCAGCCGCGAGTGGGGTCGGTCGGCCGCTGCTGCGCCCAACGCACTGCCGTGCACCCTCCCGCCGGCGGCGACTGTCGGGTTCCAGTGCCCGGCCGGGCCTCGGGCCGTCTCGTGACTCGTGACGCGTCGTGAGCGGTCACGTGACGGCGCGGCGGCGAGCCGTGACGGGCGGCACGAGCGGCGCCGCGCGGTCGCCACAGCCGGGCGGCACGTCATGGCGCCGCCGTCGCTGCTGCTGGCCGCCGGCCTGCTGGCCGCTGCGCTGTTCGCCGCCCGCTGGGCGCACCGACGAGTCACCAACACGGTGAGGCTTCCCCCGGGGCTGGGGGTCCGCTCCACCTCCGGCAGCGCGCTGTCGCCCACGGCTTCTGCGAGCTCCTGTCAGCTCCTGTCAGCTCCTGTCAGCTCCTGTGGCCTGACTTTCTACGGCCGCTTTCAAGATGCCTGTGAGTGGAGTCTGCTGGGTTTCACTGTGAGGGAGTCGCGCTGATGAGACAGTTAGGTACCGAATCGTTAGATCTGTGCGCGGAGGTAGCGAAGTTCAGTGTCACGGTTGGGTGCTGACGCGCCGTACCTGACTCCGTGTGCCCGACCTCCGTGGTTCCGTGTCGGGACGGCCGGAGTGCACCGTGTGAACGCACCTCGCTGCCAGCCGGTCAAGTCAAGTCCTACTGAGTCCATCAGCGTGACCAAAGTCCACAGTCAACGCCATTATCTGAGGTGGTAGACGATATGCCATCTGTTACCAAAACTATCCCAGTTTACTTTGTCTTCCTCTATTTCATGTTCAAATGAGTTTTTTTCTGTGGAACTCCATATGGCATCGGTTTAAAAGGGACCAAAGACCCATAAGTTGGTTTTATCGATCTCATCGATGATGTAGGTGGTCGAATCCATACTTTCGAACAGAGCGCAGATATTTGCGATATTTCAGAAAGCTTTTCACAACTTATTGGTGATTTATGCCAAGTATCGGGGCTGGGACAAGCGCTGAACTAATCATCCCTGCGAGGTGATGCAACGCTCCAAGCCTCCACCCCAGTATGCTGTATTCAGTTCAGGGGAGGGGTTGAGCCAGGTCCCAACGTCCAGCTGAATAACTTGGCAGAATGTTCCCCAATAAAATGTTTAGTTTTGATGACAAATTTTCTGGAAGGTGAGGAGAAAAAACTTTTCATGATGAAATGTGTTATCATAATTCATTTTCCAACCTTGCTGCATTTCTTCCCCACATAGCCCAAATAACGTTAAAAAAAAAGAAGATAAAAGCTATTAGTTCGGGTTTCATATTTCTCAATATGACGGAAAAGTTGCCAATGTCCGGAGAAAATTTAACGCTACAACCCTGATTGGCACATAAAATATTACGGTAACTAGTGCGCTATAACGCATGATTCCTTTGATCATAGTTTGGTGTCGGGTCAGTGTTCCAGCACACACATGTCGGGTCCGACCTGAACCGGGTTCACGCCACTGGGCGACACTCTCGACACGACAGACTCTCCCCTGACCGCCGCCGGCCGAGCAGCGGAGCATCACGCCCGACCCCGCTATCCGGCCCACGAGCCCAGACCGAGCGGTGTAACCAGACCACGGCCTGCGCCGGCACGAGCTGGCGCCGGGCGCAGAGCTGGGAGGTATAACCAGGCCGCAATCTGCGTCGGCATGTGCTGGCGCCGGGCGCAGAGCCGAGCTCGACGACAGCACGTCGGAGGTGGTCGCCAGCCCTGACCTCTCACAGAGTGCCGGCCCTCCGACGGAGCTCGCACCTGAGAGCAGGTTTGTCGTCGGAATCACCCGCTCGTCAAGCGCCAGCCTTCTCAGGCGCCAGAGGAGGCAAAGTGTTGCTTACGCGCGACACCTGGACCGGACTAGGGCTGTGCCGCAGAATGGTCCCTGGCGAACCGGTCATGCGCCCGCTGTTCGTCCTTTTCCACGTCCATTGTGCTCGATGATGAGGCAGAAAACAATGTCAAAAATGGAGAGGTTTCTCTTTGGTCGAGGGCAGTGGCCCTGAAACATTGCTCAAATTTGACGGGCTGTGAGGATGCACGTTAAGAGGTCATTTGCGTCGCCGTGGTGCTTACTTGCTGGAATGCTCCATGTCAACGCACTGATCTGGTGCGGAAGGTCAGGTCGGGTTAACATCAGGCGAGCGGTGTGCTTCGGAGCGCGCCGCGGCCGCCCTGACCGGGCCGCCTCGGGTCAGGTCGGGTCAGCGCCAGGCCAGTGGTGGACGTCAGAGCGCGCCGCGGCCGCCCTAACCGGACCACCCTGGCTCAAGGCGGGCGACACGCCGCGCTCCCGGCATCACCCACAGGCCGGGCACGTACCTCTCGTCAGTCAGCGTCGTTAGCGCGGCACGCTGGCGACGCCGGCCGGGGGACTCACGTCCACGCCGGCCGGACTGCGGCCATGCCGGGAAGCCGCGCTGCCCGCGACTGCTTTATGGCATGGTGCTGTGGTACTTACCGAGCGACGCCGGCGAGGGACTCACGTCCACGCCGGCCAGACAGCGGCCGTGCCGGGAAGCCGCGCTACCCGCGACTGCTTTATGGCATAGTGTTGTGATGCTTACCGAGTCTGTGGGCCACTGCATGCTAGGCTGGGACCTGAAAAGGCAGTCAGGCTGGCTAGCCGATAGAATCCCCGATCAAATGGCCAGTACTTTGCTCATTCCGACGACGTGACAAGCTCCAACATGATGTGTAGATAATCAAGGCTATGGTTCGTATTATGTGCAGGGATATGCCCGGTCTTATGGATGTCTATTGACCGCGCGTGGCGGCAGGGCTGGTGGCGCACAGACTGAGGCTCAGCTGGCAGTGGTGCAGGCAGCCAGCACCCATCACAGACGTGCAGCACGGACGTGCACGCACGTGCAGCAACGTGCAGGGAAGAGCATGTGAATGGGGCGGGAAAAAATACCAAGGGACGGGAGCATGAGCAGTGGGGGCAAGGAACATGGGACGGAGAGTGGGAAGGGGATGACAGTGCATCGGACAGCAGAGGAAGGGCACTGGGTTGGAAGGGGGTTGGGCGCGAACCCGCAGGGCGATGCGGGATGAGCAGAGTTGTGAAAGATATTATGTTCGCACCGGTGGCTCAGTTAGTTATCACGCCGCTCGTTGGATTATCCACCACCGGCGGCATGGGGGAGTTATGCGACCATGGTACATATCTAAACTGGTGCGACATGGAAAATTCCACTTGTGTAATCGAAATGACTGGAGAAAGTGAGAACGAGAAAATGCGACGTCGCCGTCTGCCCTTGACTAGTATCGCCTGCGGCTGATGGCAGCGACCGCGCTAGGGGTCAGATGGCGCCAGAGGGTAAGATCGGCCATGCCAAGCCTGTATGCATCAAACTTTCGCCGCACAATGGTGTTTATTTGGAATTTTGCGATCGGATGGTGGGGTCAGGGCTCACACAACAAGAGCTTCTTAACGTGGGCTCTGAACCCACTTATAGCAGATAAAAATGTTCGAACTATTTTTTTTTAGTGGATGCCTTCACCCATCAAAGATTATCGTAAGCCCTCTGGCACAACTGGGCTACCGCACTGACATGTTTTGTTGAGAGAGTGTATCGTTAAAAGATGCATCGATATACCGGCAAAGCCTTTGCGTAGCATCCTTTTCATTTTTACTCTGCTGTTTGGAGGCGCTGGTACCTACGTTGACTGAAACAAGACGAAAACATAATGGAGCTCTCAGTTACCTAGTGTAATCCGACCTAGTTTTGACCAGCTGGTACGGCCCAAAAGTCCCAGGTGGTAACTCGTAACGCTGATGCATAGTTTTGCATCGATTTAATCGCCTACGTAGAAAGGTGTGACATCTATTACCTATTCACACGACATCTTTGTTTGCCAGCGGTTTTCTGCTTCACTGCAACTCATACGCCAAGGCATGACCAGGGGTGATTTATCTAATGAGTTGCAGCAAACTGTAGTGGGATCAGACTCCCCCTTGTTCACTCCGTGATATAATGGCAATGTATTCTACGAATTAACAAAGAAACTAAATAGCTGACAGGGAATGATATCGTAGAAATCAGAACAAGGCATCACTCCTTCTATATATATGTCGCCTACGCAGGCAGTTTAAAATGAACTTGTTCCCAGACGTAACCTTTTCAAAGCTTATCAGCATTTAACTGCAGCCAGTTCACAGCCTCCGTCGCCGTGTTTCAGTTCCGGTCCCGAGACGAGTACAAGCACTGGTTCACAATGCTAAAGAACGAATCGACCCGGCCGACGGATGACGTCAGCAGAGACGTCACCAGTGACGTCACGGAGACCTCGCCAGCGGACACTGTGTCGGTGTCATATGGGGGAAGCAACACGGTCAGCATCAGCTACGGCAGCTCCAACGGGCCGGAGCCCGCCGTCTCCGACAGCGGCAACATCGAGTTTGAGAGTTGGGTGGTCGCTGGCGAGACGGACGAGGCCACTG